AACTAAATAATTCAACTCCACTTCACAAGTTTATTCATTTCGAATAAAAATAATTAGGGCATGAAATAAATTGACCATTAATTATCCAGCAAGATAAATCCAACTCAAATCGAAACAAAACAGGAAAACTAAAACTAGTAATACTCAAAAAAGGTACTTACAGAAGGGCTCGCTTTTCGTTAGAGGATTGGAACTGCCACTCACGAAGTTTAGACATAATGCAAATAAGTTTGAGATTCACTTCTATTAGAAGATTTGAAAAGACTTTACGGTCCACTGTCCGAACCACAACTGCCGGTTTTTTCTCTAATACTTTTTCATCTCGGTTTTGGTTCTGGTAGTTGATTCAGCATAAAAACAAGTGTATTCACCTCGATTAGGAAAAATCCAAAACCAGCAGTTTCTGCCCGTCAGCGACTTTACTTGAATAATAATAAAATTGAAATCCGAACTATAATTTCCTTTGAATATCGTAATTCTCTACTGATATCCTGTGAGCTAAATAATTCTAAGAATATGATCTAGACTAGGTTATTGTACTGTTCTTGAATGAAATGAGAATTTCAAATATTCTCAATAAAATTATAGTTTTTATTCATTCTTGACGATACATTCTGAGAATTGCAAAAGATCGAACGGAATGAATAAATATAAAAACTTGAGAATAGTAAATTTGGTCATAATGTCGATATTCTCTCTAGTTCATGGACAATCTCGGTCTTTTTAACTTTGATTGATCACCTGGGTCATAATCAACTGCATTTCGAAGAAGCAGATTCTCATCATGAACCTCAGCTTTTTCGAAGGTTTTGATGTTTGGTTCTCTAATGACTGTGCCTAGCTTAATATACAAAATAGTGTTGAACTGGCTTAAAAGGCCTTTCCCTAGCCTATCTAGGTACGCACGATGTTCCACGAACATTATAGGAATCTCCTCTCGTGCGGTCCAAGAGATAAAAGAAATATTGTTGAACATTCAGAAATAAATGATCTCTTGGATGTTTGCTCGATTGAGAACCATCAAGTTGAAATATAAAAATCTCTCAAACCGAATTTTTAAACGCCTTATTGAAAATCTCTTACCAGAAAGAGGATATCAAAGAAGTTGAAATGAACGTGTTTTCCTCTCTTCATGATATTCATTTATATTTCTAATAATAGAATATGATATGACTACTGAAGAATCCGATACTTTCTGCAGTTTGGAGTGGTTTCACTTCAGAACATTTCATTGTTAGTCAATTTCAATGATATTTCGAAATCCAAACTTTTGTGAAACAAAGTGCTATGTTGTGATAGTCCAATTTCATCTTAGTATTCAGAAAAATCAGTGTGATATTATGATGGGTACATGATGGTACCTATACCTGCCATGGAAACCTATGGTCATACAGAGGATTCCAAATAACAGCCTCCTATTGTTTAATAAATACATAAAAGTGTAGAATCGTCAGTTTCCTGGATTACCCCATAGAATCCCCTAGTTATTTACTCATTGGAACACTGCACGTGGAAATTTATATACTTAGGTAGATATTGTTTCATTCTTTGTTTCAATGTAACATACCACGAAAGTGACTGTTCGATAAACAATAGAATGTTTGATACAGGTTGTCCTATATCGAATACCATCCCCAGGAGTCTCCTCAAGAGGCAGTATAGTTCCTTTTTAGTGACCATAGTATTCAACTAATGTTTCTTTCTTTTTTTTTCATTTCTGATCGTACAATGTACTGTTAAAGTATTACACCCTATAAAATGAAAAAGTTATACCATAGACTACAGAAGATATCACCCACTCAGTAGGTATATACGCTTAACGCATAAGAAAACTATAGAAGAAGAAAATGATTATATAATAGAGGTTGCTCGTGGATCATACAATAAGTAGATTAATAATAATATATTTCATAAAATTATTATTGGTTACAGTCGTTCTTTTGGGATTATTCCGTAATCTCAAGACTCCTATGGTGAATTGATAGTGTTTTGAAATCCGGGTATAAAAATAATAGTTTGACCTCTGACTAGATAAGTGTCTTTGTTGAACACTATAAAAATGGATTGATAAACATTCTTTATTATAGTTTGTCATCTACTTTTATCAAAATCATGAAGACCGTTGCAGTTATTGTTTGTGCTGCTGCCTTTTTGGCTCTGGTGAGTGCATTTTTGAGTATCGATTTATTAATCCCATATGAGAAGAATAAAGTTCATATGAATCATTTCGTGTCAACTAGAAGATGATTAATTCCAATTTGAAAATGATTTGTCTCAATTTTTAGCTTAAAAATGTATAGAAGTTTTCCCTTGCAGCAAAGAATATTCTAGAATATTCCAATTGAATGTTTTCCGAATGATTATAGAATATTCATATCCTGCGACAAATATTCTGAACATTCAATTCGACTAACTCTCAGACTACTCGTTTTTAATATTCTATTAACATCTATGTTGACGTATTCCCAGGGAATCCTTTTGAATATTCTGAGAATATACAGGATCGTATCAAAATATGATATTGGTGTTAGTCTTGTATCAATATTTTTATAATGTTTCTCCTGGTCCATCCTATCATTCTCCAGTCTCAATACTGATTATTCGACAAATGAAGTGTTGAGATCTTGCTGTTCGTATTATTCATCAATAAGGCTCGCAGCGCAGTGAAAGAGGTGTAAGGTTTGTAAAAATTCAATCACTAGTGAGTGGTTCGCATCTCCACTGGAGCAAGTTTTTTTAAATTTTCTTCTATCTTCTATAATATAACAGAAATATTCTCAGAATATTTGGAACAGTCCATTCCGAATGTTCATAGAACGTTCCTAGAATATTTGTATCATATTGTGGGATTATATTGAGAATATTCATATATTTTCGGAGAATATCCTATGAATGTTCATTTAAAATAACAGGATATTGAATCAATCGTGGTGGTTTGCATTTCCACTAGAGCAAGTTTCTTCAAATTTTCTTCCATCTTCCATAATATAACAGGAATATTCTCAGAATTTTTGAAACAGTCCATTCCGAATGTTCATAGAACGTTCCTAGAATATTTGTATCATATTGTGAGATTATATTGAGAAAATTCACATATTTTCGGAAAAATCCTATGAACGTTCATTCAAAATAACAGAATATTGAATCAATCAAATATTTTGTTGATTCAATGAAATATTTCAGTGATTCAATGAATTTTTTTGTTGGTTCAAAGCAATAATTTCGTCGATTCAATGAAATAATTTCGTTGATTCGATGAAACATTTGGTTGAATCAATAAATACCGTATTTCATTTCGACAAATTATTGTTTTGTTGAACCATATTCATTCAGGAATTCACTGAAATTTCACATCAACCGAATGAAAATCTCGGAAAATAATATCGACTTCTATATCGATCTTCTACGTCACTACTACTAATCCAGTTGATATTAAAAAACGACACGAAAAAAAAAGGATTTGTTGCATCAACAAATTATTTATTCTCGAATTATCTTCGTTGGACTGGGCAATAATTTGTTGAATCAATGAGAAACATGATTATTTCATTAAAGCAGCTCGTTCAAATGAAGAATGTAGTCCGAGATGTAGTCTAATTCAATCAACAGTATAAAATCAATTCAATCAACAAAATATATGGTTTTCTCAAAAACAAATCAAGTCGATCCAAAAAAACATTTTGTTGATATGATCAAATAATGATCATTTTGATAAGAATATATCTTTGAAACAACATACAAGTTTTTCTATTCCGATGTAGCAGTGAATTCATTTCGCACGGATCATTTGCTTGAATAGAGCTACGGAATATGTGATACCAATGAGATATTTTGTTCATTCTACATTTCGCCTCTTCTATGCAGAAAATTCCCAAATTAATAATGAATTTGATTTAACAAAACAATTGTGTCGAATGGAAATACAGTTTCTCTTGAATCAAGGAAATATTTCATTGAATTAACAAAATATTTGATTGAATCAACCAAATATCTCATTGAATCGATCGAATGATTCATTGAATCAACTAAATATTTGATTGAATCAATATCTTGATATTTTGAATTTAACAAAGTGATTGTTCGAGCCAATACAGTATCTCTTCATGAACAATACATGGATGTTCTTGATTGAATAAGATCCAGAGTTCATGCAAGACATATTTACTCAATTCAAACTTCAAAATCGCTATGAAACAAGATATAGATTTACTCATTACAAGATTATATTTTGTCGTGCATATATGGTACTTTTATTTGCTTCATTCAATTGAATTTTGCTTGATTCAGCAATTATTTTTTCTCTGTGGACGAATCAAGCTTTCTGTATATTTAGAAATCGAGGGATTCATAGACGAGGCGAAAAGATTGCCATCCAGTGGCGAAAATTTGACTTGAGGCAATCTGAACATAGTGCTTTTTCATTTCAGTATGTCAACGGTAGTCCCGAATCCGACAGGCTCATCCAGATCCACAAAGAGTGCCAAGCTGATCCAGCCAGCCACTTAGACGAAGACCTCATCAAGAAGGCCGGCAGGGGCGAACACGTAGACCCGTCCCTCGTAGGCCCTCATGCTCTCTGCATGAACGTGAAAGGGGGCGTCCAGAGCCAAAACGGTGACATCATCGAAGCGGGTCTGAGGAGTTTCTTGAACAAGAAGATCCATGACAGCGCCACCGTGGATGATATCGTGAAGGAATGTGGCAAGAGGAATGGCGGTAGCGCACAGGAATCTGCGGTGGCTCTTGCTAAGTGTCTTCGTGATCATGCCCCTGGACTACAGTTCCATGAGCATCATGGAGGTCATCATTAAAAATAGCGTAGACAAGGAATAAACACTTTTTTAAGAAATTGTTTGATATTATTTCATATCTTCCTCACTTTGAATCGTTCTTGAAGCCAAATAGAGACATCATCAAGGCAGGTCTGAGGAGTTTCTTGAACAATAAGATCCATGACAGCGCTACTGTAGATGATATCGTGAAGGAGTGTGGCAAGAGGAATGGGGGTAGCGTACAGGAATCTGCGGTGGCTCTATCTCAGTGTCTTCGTGATCATGCCCCTGGACTTCAATTCCATGAACATCATGGAGGCCATCATTAGAAATAGCGTAGAGAAGGAATGAACACTTTTTTAAGAAATTGTTTGATATTTTTTCATATCTTCCTCAATCCTCACTTCGAATCGTTTTTGAAGCCAAATAGAGACATCATCAAGGCAGGTCTGGGGAGTTTCCTGAACAAGAAGATCCATGACAGCGCCACCGTGGATGATATCGTGAAGGAATGTGGCAAGAGGAATGGCGGTAGCGCACAGGAATCTGCGGTGGCTCTTGCTAAGTGTCTTCGTGATCATGCCCCTGGACTTCAATTCCATGAACATCATGGAGGTCATCATTAAAAATAGCGTAGACAAGGAATAAACACTTTTTTAAAAAATTGTTTGATATTATTTCATATCTTCCTCACTTTGAATCGTTTTTGAAGCCAAATAGAGACATCATCAAGGCAGGTCTGACGAGTTTCTTGAACAAGAAGATCCATGACAGCGCTACTGTGGATATCGTGAAGGAGTGTGGCCAAGAGGAATGGGGGTAGCGTACAGGAATCTGCGGTGGCTCTTGCTAAGTGTCTTCGTGATCATGCACCTGGACTTCAATTCCATTAACATCATGGAGGTCATCATTAAAAATAGCGTAGACAAGGAATAAACACTTTTTCAAAAAATTGTTTGATATTATTTCATTTCTTCCTCACTTTGAATCATTTTTGAAGCCAAATGGAGACATCATCAAGGTAGGTCTGAGGAGTTTCTTGAACAAAAAGATCCATGACAGCCTACTGTGGATGATATCGTGAAGGAGTGTGGCAAGAGGAATGGGGGTAGCGCAAAGAAATCTGCGCTGGCTCCTACTAAGTGTCTTCGTGATCATGCTCCTGGACTACAGTTCCATGATCATCATGGAGCTCATCATTGAAAGTAACGTAGATAAGAAATAAACGCTTCTTTTTGATTTTTTGATATTATTTCATTTCTTCCTCACTTTGAATCGTTTTTGAAGCCAGAATGGAGACATCATCGAGGAAGGTCTGAGGAGTTTCTTGAACAAGAAGATCCATAACAGCGCTACCGTGAATGATATCGTAAAGAAGTGTGCCATAGAAATAACGGAGAAATCTGCGCTGGCTCTTGGTGTCTTTGTAATCATGCCCCGTAGACAAGAAATATACGAATTCTTTTTTAATTTTCTTGATATAATTTCATATCTCCCACTTTTTGAACCCAGAATTCCCAGTACATTGGCCAGAGTGGTAGACGGATCCAAACCAGAGTCAATGAGCATATTGAGTTTATAGAGGAAGCCACTACACTACAACACTAGTACTTCCTTCGCCAACCATTTTTTCAACTTCCAACACTGGTTTAACATTGACAGAAGCTCAAAAATTCTACATGTTTGCCAAGAAGGCCGTCTATTGAATCTTTTAGAAATTTATGTAATAAATTCGTCATTGAAAAATAACAACGTAACTTGTCTGAATGAACAAATTCACTTTGATTGTCCCAAATTTGCTAAATAATTCTCTTCTTACATTGCTCTCTGTTATAGGTCGGCCGATTCGAGACTCCATATATGTACCAATCTTGATTTTTGTTACCAATCTGACGTAGTGTCGTTCTCCAGTGTTCTATGATTATGTCCATGTATCTAGTTTTGTGTTACATAATCTGATGGTTGACTTGACAGTTGCAAATAATTGTTGTGTCAGGGTCACTGCATAGCCACATCATAGTTTTAATAGTTTGATATTTTCTTGGGTAGTTGTCACTTTTCGGTGAGCCTTTAGAAAATATGAACCCGACCTTCTGATAATTATTTTGTATTTTTGTTTACTGTTTATAATGAACAAAAATTTTATATAAATAGTGGGTTTTTCCTATTGTGAACTTCCTTTATAAATTTATTTACTGTTTGTCTTCCAGATCATAGAGCATCTGCCTTTGTTAGCTCTGTTATTTTCTTCTTTATTTGAATTTCACCTTTTTTCACTTTCATGTAAATGAGCAATCATTGCATCTATATCCTAAGTCAATATCTACCGATTTTTTCTAGAACTCTGAACTACTTATCGGCTGATGATTTACCTTCTAATGATCTCTGATCAATTCAATAAAACTTGTGGAGATGACTTTGGATATGAACAACCATTAATGTTTTCATATATTAAAAAAAGAATGCACTAGCGAAAAAAATATTCGTTATTGATTGCCTTATCAACTCCGCACATTCAGATGTTCGACCTCTTATGATTATTGCTTTCGGAAGCAACTATATATAGTTGGAAAATAAAATGAGAAGTTTAGAGCTCGCTCCCAAGTGATATCATGAAGATTGTGTTTGTTGTTTGTATCGTAGCCTTTGTGGCAATTGTAAGTACCTACTTTGTTTCAACCCCTATTAGTTTCTTGTTACTAAAGATGAAAAAAATCGAATCCGGAATTTACGTATAGTACATGAATATGCAAGTTTTGACGTATTAAATTGATTCCTGTCATTTGCCGCTTTTGCGAAAATGCGACCGAAACCGCGGAACATATAGTTTGCTCCTGTGTAAAGTATTCAGTCCGCCGAAGGCTGAATCACCTAGATCCTAGGTCTATCTCACGCCTGCTGAGGTGGGAAATTCAACCGTCAGGAGGATTCTAGGCATCATCAGGAGTCTAGGGTTAGAGGACCAAAACTACATAACGGTAATCACAATAGATCTTCTACAGGGTGGGCCACCAGTAACGCCTCGGTCTCTAGAAGGCTAACCACTTATCTTCTTGGAATTCTTTCTCTCTAGGAAGTTGCATGTCAACATAGGCTACCATTTGAAATTATTTCGAAACATACCCAAAAACCATAAAACACTGAAGTTAAACTTTTTTCTATCGAACACCCTATATATTATTTCATTTTGAGATTCTCCCTGATGAGCTGATTTCAACAATCCATCAGGAGTCTAGCAGTCTTAAGTCTTAAATCATGTGTTTCTTAGGTCACAGCTGATGAGGCCAGGCATGAAAGAATCGAGAAAATCAAGAAAGCTCACGATGAATGCCAAGCTGACCCAGTCACCAAGGCAGATGAAGATGTAATGTCAAAATTCTTCAAAGACGAACCAATCGATGAAACCAAGTTTGCTAAGCACGCCCTGTGCATGAACGTCAAATCGGGAATCCAGAAAGAAAATGGCGATATCGACAAGGACGTTGTGAAGATATTATTCAGCAACAACGAGAAGGTGGATGAGATTGTTGTAGAGTGTGGAGAGAAGAAAGGTAGCACCGTTGAAGAGGCTGCACTTGCCCTGTACAAATGTTTCAGGAAATATGACTATGGACATGAACACCATCATCATCATTGAGTTGATCCAGATCGGAAAATATAAATATATCTGATATACTATTTTGCGTCGACTTTTATTTTTGTTTCAATTTTCCTATCTTACACACAGATCTGTCCTAAAGCATTGTGCTTAGTGCTCGTAGCACTATTCGAAGTTACTAAGCACTAAGCCTTTCCATACACACTGTTTGTCTAACATGGGAACGTACTTAGCCAGAAGCATGTGCTACTAGTCGTATTCATTCCACCTCCACCATATCAGTTTAATTAACGCCACACTTATAAATTAATAACGAATCATAGGCGAAGCACTGCGTTCAACAAAATGAATAAATTTACTTTTTCTCCAAATGACATTGGAAGTGGATTTTTGATGACACTTAACAGGCAGAAAAGGTGTACTTTCACTGCCTAGGCAAAAGAAGTTTGTTGCTATGCAACGATCCAAGTAATTTGAATCAAATTGGTCATCAAGATTGACAATGACTTTGGGTGAACAAATAATGATGGATTATTTGGACTTTGCGTGGAATTGGAAAGAATCTTGAGTAAAAAATATGTTTCACATGGCAGAAAAGAAGATGTTAATGCCTTTTGGCTGGTTTCATAGCCTCGGCTGCACCTAGGCTATGAAACGCCAGCCGTGGCAGTAAACCTTGTACTTTTTTGCCTAGTGGAACAAATAACTATTTATTATTCGCTGTTTCGTTGATATCTTGGATTGCATTTGACGTGATTAATCTAGATACAAAACATTCAAAAACCATTCAAGAAAAATTCAGGTGTATCATCCTATGCAGAAGTGCTTAGTGCTTGAGAATTTCGATTACTTCTTGGTAGTGCTGAATAAAAGCGAGCATTTTGTCAATAAAAGTGCTTAGTGCTGGAGATTCTGGAGAACTTTTAAAGAGTGCTTAGTGTACTATATTCAGTATCACTCCAAACTAGAAGGACTTTGTTTTTGTATGTATGACAAATTGATATCCATCATACAGGACGTGGAGAGATATTCTGAATTGAAAAAACCTAATCACGGATCTGCGATTGAAGGTCAATAGAAATAACAAGTTTCCATTGTCCTGTGATGATTTTAAAACCATGAGAAAATAAGATAACAACCAGAAGAGGAAAAACCACTGAATCTGCTTGCATTCTTCTGAACGGAGAGAATAGCATTGCTTCTTGTTTAGTTGATATAGAAAGAACATGGTATTCACTACTGAAATCTGAGAAGTGTCAAGACGAATACGAATTTGCTATACAAATATCCATTTTTTATGTTGAAAACGGGAGCAGATTCGTTCCCGAAACGGCCGAAGCTAAGTGAAAATTTGATATTTTTTTCTATATACCTTTATTTCTCTTCAATAAACCTTTTTCAATACAAATCGTCACTGACAAGCTAGTGCATTTTTCTTTTAGGCTCTCTGATAGGAAGATTCTTTGAACGCAGTGACATTTTGGGGAAATCATTTGATTTGTCCTTACTACACGTATATTGAAATAATATTGATATTTTCATTCTATAGAAACGAGGAGAGAAAAGAATCTGGAATAATGAATTTTCTCGTATCTTCCTCAAATTGAATCGTTTTTGAAGTCTAAGGAGTTTCTTGAACGAAAATATCCATAACAGCGCTACCGTGGATGATATCGTGAAGGATGATTCATATTATAATATGCTTGAGAGAATCTACTCGGATTGTCAGGCGGCAATCAATGCAGTCAGCTCAATGCAAGTTAACTCAAAACTTGTCTGAGACTGCCTAGAAACCCTGAATGAATTGGGCAGTCAGAACAGACTGACTCTAGCTTGGGTACCCGCAACAAACAGTCTCACTTACCTGAGCAGGAGCGAATAGAGCTTTGAATGGCCCAGAATCCTTTTGTGGTATTGCGAAAGCTATACAAAAGAGAAGTATCAAATCGTGGATGCAAACCACACCTTACGAATGGTGAAAAAACCATTGGCCTGGAATGAGACAGACAAAGGAGTTTATTAAATAACCATCGCCAATATTCACAGAATATCTACTGAGCCAGAAACGAAGTTTAACTAGAAAACAATAGTGAGACTTCACACAGGGCATTGTAGGCTGGCTCAACAAACACATGAGTACGATTGGTCTGGCTGAAGAACTGCTGTGAAGATTCTGTCAGGGAGAGGAGGAAACAGCAGTACCTAATCATACTTTCTCAGTGTGAGGACTTGTCATGACTAACCTTACCCTTGGTGAGGAAAAATCAAGAGCCCAAAGCTCCACAGGGAACCTGGAAGCTAGACTATGGAGTCTCATAGAGTAGGCGGGGATATCCAAATATATCCAAACGGTTTTGAGGGTAGACAGAATAGATATGAAAAGGTCGTGGTGTGGAGGCGAATATCCCGAAGATTCTGAATCTAATCTAGTCTAAGTCGAGGGCTCATAGACTCAATTATTCAGGTATATAGTTTATAATTGGGTGTTTTTAATGAAAGTTACTGGAACTAAATCAAATATTTTTATTCTCCGCATTAACCCCCCCTAGAAAAAAAATATCTACGCCCTTGACGAGGAAAGGAAACCTCAAAACTAATATTCATTTTCAATTTCAACTTCAGCCTACATTTAATATAGATGAAGGAATGACGTCTCATATTGTGTTATTCTAGCTTCTCAGGTTTTTTCTTGTTGTTTCATACAGTGTGTCCACGTTAGGGCAAAATCACCCCTGTGAAACCTTCTTTTCTTGATCGATCTTGCATTTCATTTCAGATGCACATTCAACAAGTGCAAGCATATTGAAAAATATGTATTTGTTATTGATTGTCTTATCGATTCCATTTATTGAGATGTACGACCTTTTATCATAATTGCCCTAGGGTGCAACTATATATAGTTGAAAAATAAACCGATAGTTTTACAGCTTGTTGCCAAGTGAAATCATGAAGACCATTGTGTTTGTTGCTTGTATTGTAGCCCTTGTGGCTATTGTAAGTACCAAATTCATCTCTCAATTCCATAGGATGTTTCTCATAAGTGGCTCTTCGTTTTTAAAATATTAAAATGGAATCCGCTGTTTAGGTTTATAGTACATATATATTCAATTCCTGACTTATTCAATTATTGATTTCAGTCATTTCGCGTTTGATCGGAATTCACCGTTACTTTTGGTTTTGAAAGCAACACCCGGTATATTTTCACTATTTCCAATTGAAAATGACATTTTTAGTACAATGAGAACCCATTTATCACTCTCTGATATTTATCATCCTGAAATTCTTTATTTTCAATCTAGAGTTCCATGAATGATTTGAAACGGTTGATATTGGATCAGGTTGCCAGGGAAAAATAGTTTCGTTTGAATTCATCATTTCATTTACAGTTTCATGGAAATATTACAAAATTGTAATGATGTTCACTGAATTTTTCTAATAGAACAAAGGTTGCTCATTACCATACCTAAATGGGCATTGTGTAATGAAAAATTTGATACTTCATAATCGATATTTTGAATGAATATCAAGTATGATAATCTGTCATAACACTCTAATACTAATTGTCTATCGAGACGGCTATCAACCGTCATATAGTAATCAAAACAATTTGATTTAATCAATCTCCATGTCAATGACAGTTATGTATGACTAGAATGGCACTTTTGATTCTGATGCTAAAAGTTTGTACAATTCTCTGAGGGAGCAAGTCGCTTTGTCCTGTGGTTCACTGCACTGCAAGAGAGGAAATAATGAAAATATAATGATCATGAAAAAATTTAAAGCAGTAGGTAGGCAAAAAATAGGATTATCATGAGTACAATTTTGTAAATTAGAATGAACCTGTAAAAGTAATGAAAAGTGAAACTTCATCGAAACTTTTTTTCCCTGTCAGCTTGATTCAAAATCAACCGTTATGACTCATTCTTGGTACTCTAGGTTGAAGTTTTGAAATTTTTAATTCTAGAATGATATTGAACTCACAATGTGATTTTCAATTGCAATATGCAACCAATATAGAAGATTGGTAATTTCTGGTCAAATGTGAATAAGTGACAGAAAACAAATGAATACGTCAAAAAATGTATTAGAATGCCTATTACTCACTGATGTGAGATTGGTTGGAACTGAATACCTGTCACTCTACCACCCGTCATGGCTATATTAATGACTCCTTATGTTACTCAACTATCAGTATGAAACTTCTTCGAACTGCTCTCGATCATTTTGTTCCTCAGGTTTTCGCTGATGACACCAAGAAGGAGAAAATAGAAAAATTCAAGAAAGCTCACGATGAATGTCAAGCCGACTCAGCAACCAAGGCCGAGGAAGACGTAATGGAAAAAAACTTCAAAAATGAACCCATCGACGAATCCAAGTTTGGAAAGCACGCCCTGTGTATGAACGTGAAATCAGGAATCCAGAAAGAAAATGGCGACATCGACAAGGACGGTATCAAGGAATTATTTAGCGACAACGATAAAGTGGATAAGATTGTTGAAGAATGTGGTGAGAAGAAAGGTGCCACTGCTAGTGAAGTTGCCATCGCTCTGATGAAATGTATTGGGAAATTCACATCAGGTCACGAACATCATCACGAACATCATCATGAACATCATCATGATTGAATGCTCGAACTCGAAATATAAATTTATCCGCATGATATTCTCGTTTCATTGAATTCCACTTCCATTGCTTGGTGAGATTTGGTCAAAGAGGTTTAATCAGGGTAATGGACCGAATTCTGGAACAATTGAATAATGTTATGAAATTTGAATTGGTTTCCAAGATACCGGAATTTTTTTAATGAGATTGATCATGATAGTCCATTCGAATAGTGTTAACGTATATTGGAAATCATGGAACCATTCATTGTCAAAGTAGTCCAGTATTTTCGAATGAAAAAAACAACAACTAGGTTATCAATGTGTGACTAATTGTTTCGGACATCATCCGTTACGAAAAAACAAATGGGTTGCGTGCAAGAACTGTCAGATGACCGACCCTGGAGGTGAACCATTGAAACACAACCTCACTTTTATTATTTGTTTACAGAAGATTGAAATTTTTCCACAATTATTTTGGCTTACGAATCGTGCCTTTCGGCTATTCATTAATTCGCGCATGTCACCACATTGTGCTGTTGTACAATGCACAAAAAATGCAGCGAGAGACGAAGAAATCCGGTTGGTACATTATGATTTAAAAGTGAGTACGTACTATATAGTCACTCGCAAATAGTTTTCTTTTTGATTTCTCATCGGAATTCCTTCTGCAATAGGAGCTAATAGAAATACTCGTGAAATTTCTAAAAGAATGCAACAAGATTGGATTCATGAAATCAAACGGGAGGACTGGTCTGACAGCGTATGTGTCGTAGACATTTTCAATATATTAGAGAACAATTTGAGATTCGAATAGACTAAAGATTTTTATGTGGTCTAAGGACATGCAATAATAGTTATTTATTATACAAGGGAAAAAAGTCGTAGATTTTAGCTCCAGGTTGTGTTGTCTCCCGACGCGTAGCGGAGGGAGACAAAAAACCGTGAGCTAAAATCTAATATTTTTCCCGTGTATAATACACTATTTTTTTCTGTGACAGAAGGAAGGACGAATCAATATTGAGAAGATATTACATTATTTCGAAATCTGAAAATTATCGACGTGAAATTTCAAGTTTTTAACAGTAGGGACACCTGCGTTTTATAGGCATCTTCATCATTTTTTTGAAGTAATCAAATATCTGATGTCACTTCGGTCAGTTCAATTCTGTGATTTGATTTTAAAATATTGCGAATTCAGTAGTTGTTTAGTAATATACGAAACTCCGAAGTCGAATGGAAGATAAAAGGACTTGCAGTTCTTTCTCGGAGACGGTATTATTGACTCATTTTATCGGAACTATAGCACAATAGAAGCCATTAACAGAGTATATATATGTGATATATATCCGGGAAAAAAGTACTCACTTTTTTCCCACAGGAAAAAAGTAATTTATGAAAAGTGACATTTTATAACCTGCCAACAGAGATGAAATGCCAAACTTTTTTCCCGTCACAGAAAAAATGGTTTTTATTTTTATCTCGAGAACAAAGCGAGATACGGAAACACCCCATGAGAAAGAGAAGTCGTTACATTGGTTGTTCAATCCGAGAAAAATATTGAAATTACAGAAAGAGTTGGTTATATAAGGTGCTCCTCAGGACGCTACTGAACTTGCTATATTGTTTTCTATCAATGGATGAATAGGTCTCTTATACCTCATGATTAACGTTATCAAATTTTAATGAAATTGAATGAAACATGTTTGAAAATGAAAAATCCCATCACTAAGCCAAATTTGAAAACCTTCCATTTCAAGAAATCAACCTCATTTGGAAAAAAATATATTACACATTTTCTGCTTGAAATTGAGAGAGGTTTCGCTCCTTTCATTTCGTTAGAGGCGTCAGGAAACATCCTGTATATCAATCCCAATATAAAACGTCGTCTATATGTCAGCGTCAAACAGTGAAATTCGTCATTCTCTGGAATGCCTAGACATTTCACGTATTGTCGGCAAACAGCGTAACTCTAGATTTCGTACACCGTTTGCCTAATAATTTCAGGCAGAGTGGGCTTAGGTTGAAGAAGAAGTCTACTTCGTTCTCTCAAGAAATTTTCTGAAAAATATACTTTCTAGTAAGGAGGTTCATTCAGGCGGAAGAATAGTCTCCCTTCTTATGCATATTATGCAGAAAGGATATTTTCCTTTCTCAACCCTCCGGCAAACAGAGTAACGGCTGAAAATGGAAGTTACGCTGTTACGCTGTTTGCCGACAATACGTGAAATGACTAGGCATTTCAGGGAATGACGGATTTCACTTATTGACGCCGACATATATATTATATTGAGAAAAATTCAGGTTTAATAAAGGTCTCCAAAAATGTTCATGATATTCTTTTTTCTCTAAAAATATGCCTGATTCATGTCATCTATAATCGATCCTAGTTGGCCATGTAATATTGCAATGAGACGAATTAATATTCTACAGAAATATAGATAACATTGAATATCACATGTTAACTGATTAGGTGGATTTTTCCAGAAATATATGTGAAATAGCGAAAAACATAATAATATTATATGTTATAGGTTGACTATTATCATATCTGTTTCTTCAAAATTCTAGACCTCTTGTGATAACTGCATTCTGGTGCGATTATATAAAGTTGGGAGATAAAATCGAAATGTTACTACTTTTTTCGAGTGAAATCATGAAGACGATAGTGTTTATTGCTTGCATTGTAACCCTTGTGGTTAACGTGAGTATAGCTATTTTTCTTTCTGTAGTAATTCTGAATATACCATAGATTATAGGTTTAACATATTTCAAAATTTATTCCATTGTTACCTATACAGGGAATAACAACGCGAATTCTCCCTTATTCCTCCCGAAACTAAAAATCTTTGTTTCTTTGAGATTCGCTGAGACCTTAAATCTCTTTTTTCTGCAACCGACGCAAAAGTCGTCCATTTTGATACCAAAATTAGCTCTTAAATTGACGTTTCTATTACTGACACAAAAATAGATATGTTGCTAGGCAACATATTTAGTTCCTAGGAGCTAAAGTTTAATTTTAGTTCCTAGGAGCTAAAGTTGAACTTTAGCTCCTAGGAACTAAAAAGGATCTACTGGACGTCATCAAGAATAAACAACATTGTGACGGTTGGTTATTTGGGTTGAGACGCATACCTGATTCGTTTCCGATTTCAGCAGATTTGGCATTTCATACCTATGCTGGAGATATAAATACACCTTATTATAGTTTAGTATTGGAATTATAAACATCTCAGTTAAGTATTTTTGTTTTGATCAGGGAAGCCTTCAAGATTCAAATACTGAAAATATACAAGATGTTCCATTCAAAGAAATGAAGTTGCTGTTATTTCCAGAAAAAAAAACCGGAAGTCCGGCATATTAGATTGGAATGTGATCAAATTCGAAATAGTTGCTTATATAATCATGTCAGATCCATCGCAAAAGCTGCTTCACAAAAACTCGTTCCGTACGAAAAGCTACTTTACACCTCAACAGCTTCTCATGATCTACAAAGCGCAGATACGGCCTGTTCTAGAATACTGTTCCCACATATGAGGTTCAGCACCAAAACATACGCTGATGCTCTTATATTCCATTCAGAAAAGAGCCATTCGCCTGGTGGGTGACGCCACACTCACTCACTCACTCTTTGACATCATTGGAACACCGCAGAAAGGTCGGCGACTTTTCACTTGTCTATCGATACTTCCACGGAAAATGTTCTTCGGAAATCTCTGCTATCATCCCTTTACTAGCAATACCAATCAGACTAACTAGACAAGCCCAATCAGATCCTTTCGTTGTCAACCTCTAAAGATGTCGAACAGCACTTTATCAAAACTCCTTCATCCATAGAACGGCTAGGCTCTGGAATTCATTGCCTGAGGAAGTATTCCCAACAACATATGAACTCCAAAAATTCAAAAAAAAAACAATACCTACCTCCTGTCCCTATCCTCCCTAGGAATGCACGATGTTCTTTGAACATCATAGGGATTCCCTTTCGTGCGCTCCAAGCGATAAAAAAAATACTCGACAATACATTGGAAATATGTACGCTCGATTATCAGTGACGAACTTCTTCGAACTCTCACCAATAATGTGTTTCTCAGGTCACAGCAGAAATCTCCAGGCAAGAGATGATTGACACACTCAAGAAAGCCCACGTCGAATGCCAAGCTGACCCAGCCACCAAGGCAGATGAGGATTTGATGCAAAAATTCTTCAAAGACGAACCCGTCGATGAATCTTCGTTGGCTAAGCACGCCCTATGCATTAACGTCAAAGTGGGAGTTCAAAAACCAAACGGTGATATCGATAAGGAAGGTTTCAAGAAATGGATGGGCGGTAGTAATAATGAGCAGCAGATAATTGAAGAATGTGGGAATAAGAAAGGTAGCACCGCTGAAGAATCTACACTTGCTCTGTACAAATGTTTCAGGAAACATAGAAATGAACAAGGAGTTCATCATCATCATGATTGAGTCGACTCTGTTAAAAAAATATAAATATATCTGATATTCTATATCCGAATAAACTTTTTGTTCTTTATTATATTCCTTATATCTATGAAATACAAAAAATTACAGGATTGCACATTGATATCGGAGCATTCTCATGGAAATTTACATCGCTGTTTAGGTATATTGCTTTTTTCTGTGACGGGAAAAAAGTTTGGCATTTCATCCCTGTTGGCAGGTTATAAAATGTTACTTTTTATAAATTACTTTTTTCCGTCGATAATTTTCAGATTTCAAAATAATGTAATATCTTCTCCATATTGATTCGTCCTTCCTTCTGTCACAGAAAAAATAGGTAGTGTATTATACACGGGAAAAATCATAAAAATATAGTTGGGGAGATTTTAATCAGCTCTTATTTAATACCAAGAATATTAATTGTGCGAAGCAATAAACCTTCATACTGCCCTTTTCCCCTCCTCCGTCTCACCTTCTAACAGCCCACTTTTGGGTCATTCATCGATTAGACTAATGTGTTCCATAGACATGCAAGTAAGTGATTTTTATTTTTTATCGCGAGAACAAAGCAAGATACGGAAACACCTCATGAGATAGAGGAGTTGTTATATTGATTACTCAAGCCGAAGAAAATATTGAAATTACAGAAAAAGTTGATGAAGGTGCCCCTCAGGACGCTACTGAACTTGATATATTGTTTTCTATCAATGGATAAATGGGTCTCCTATACCATATGATTAACGTTATCAAATTTTAATGAAATTGAATGGAACAAGTTTGAAATAATAATGAAAAATCCGATCACTAAGCAAAATTTGAAATCCTTTTATTTTGAGAACTCAACATCATTTGGAAAAAAAAATAATATACGTTTTCTGCTCGAAATTGAGAGAGGATTCATACCTTTCATTTCGGTAGAGGCGTCAGTGAACACCCTGTATATCAATGTTTGGATGCTGCACTCCGAATATGGGAACAGTATTCCAGGACAGGTCGGATCTGTGCCTTATAGATCATAAGCAGCTGACTGGAAGTGAAATAGCTCCTGGCCCGAAACAGAAAACCAAATTTTTGGGATGCACTTTTAGCAATTGATCTCACATACATCAAAGTAACCAGTATGAGAGTGGAATCCATCAGGATACATTTTTCATGTTATATATGTCGGCGTCGAACAGTGAAATCCGTCATGCTCTGGAATGCCAAGTCATTTCACGTATTGCCGGCAAACAGAGTAACTCTAAATTCCGTATACACCGTTTGCCTAGTAGTTTCAGGCATTCCCTGTAATGACGAAAAGAAGGTTCATTTAGGCCGAGTCAGCTCAGGTTGTTTAGAAGCAGTAGTCTCTTCTGTTTTCTCAAGTAATTTTCTGATAAATATACTTTTTAGGAAGAAGGTTCATTTAGGCGGAAAAATAGTCTTCCTTCTTATGCATATGCAGAAAGGATATTTTCCTTCCTCAACCCTCCGGCAAACAGAGTAACGCCTGAAAATGGAAGTTACGCTGTTACGCTGTTTGCCGACAATTCGTGAAATGACTAGGCATTTCAGGGAATGACGGATTTCACTTATTGACGCCGACATATACAGTGTGTCCCACTTACCATGCTCACCATGGGTATCTTTTTAACGGTGAGAGATACGAGGTCGGTTGAATCACATCAAATATGGAGTTTGTCAAGGCCAACTATAATGTGAAGAAATATTTTGATAAAATCTATTCGTTTTTGTTTTATACGCAAAAAACATATTTTGGTCATTTTCATGTCTCCTCCGTAACTTCTTTATTTATGAAAATATTCGAATAGGAATTTCACATTCTCATGGCAGTTTTTCAAAGTGATTTCGAAAAAAATATGAAATCCATACCAACTCTTCTAGAATTTGAGATATCAGCACCAACTTTAGTTTTTCAAATGTAGGTCATAGCTCACTATGACTTAGTTACAAATAACTTTTTTTTCTCTTACAGATGATATGTCGCAGTAATAGTTTTGTGTTGATAACAACGGAGTTATCGTCATTTATAAAAAAACTAAAAATTATTTGGAAGCCGACATCTCGAATTTATGAATTTTAACAAAAAAATCATGATCTCCGACCTCAAAAACCCCCACATACCAATTTTGAATGGAATCGGACCAATACTTGACCGCCATCTTGGAGCAGCCATTTTTTTTATTTCAACAAAAATTCCATAACTCCGATTAACTAGAAATTTGGCAGGTGTTCATAATTTCGGTGAAAATACATTATGGAATTTTTGTTAAAATAAAAAAAATGGCTGCTCCAAGACGGCGGTCAAGTTTTGGTCCGATTCCATTCAAAATTGGTATGAGGGGGTTTTTGAGGTCGGAGATCATGATTTTTTTGTTAAAATTCCTAAATTCGAGATGTCTGCTTCCAAATAATTTTTAGTTTTTTTATAAATGACGATAACTCCGTTGTTATCAACACAAAACTATTACTGCGACATATCATCTGTAAGAGAAAAGAAAGTTATTTGTAAGTAAGTCATAGTGAGCTATGACCTACATTTGAAAAACTAAAGTTGGTGCTGATATCTCAAATTCTAGAAGAGTTGGTATAAATTTCATATTTTTTTCGAAATCACTTTGAAAAACTGCCATGAGAATGTGAAATTCCTATTTGAATATTTTCATAAATAAAGAAGTTACGGAGGAGACATGAAAATGATCAAAATCTGTTTTTTGCGTATAAAACAAAAACGAATAGATTTTATCAAAATATTTTTTCACATTATAGTTGGCCTTGACAATCTCCACATTTGGTGTCATTTAACCGACCTCGTATCTCTCACCGTTAACAAGATACCCATGGTGAGCATGGTAAGTGGGACACACTGTATATTATATTGAGAATAATTCAGGTTTTATAGAGGTCTCCAAAAATGTTCATGATATCCTTTTTTCTCTAAAAATACGCCTGACTGATTCTTGACATTTATAATCGATCCTAGTTGGCCATGAAATATTGCAATGAGACGAATTAATACTCTACAGAAATATAGATAACATTGAACATCACATGTTAACTGATTAGATGGATTTTTCCAGAAATATATGTGAACTAGCAAAAAACATAATAATATTATGTGTTATAGGTTGACTATTATCATATCTGTTTCTTCAAAATTCTAGACCTCTTGTGATAACTGCATTCTGGTGCGATTATATAAAGTTGGGAGATAAAATCGAAATGTTATAACTTTTTTCGAGTGAAATCATGAAGACGATAGTGTTTATTGCTTGCATTGTAACCCTTGTGGTTAACGTGAGTATACCCATTTTTTTTCCTGTAGTTATTCTGAATATACCATAGATTTTAGAACATTCTTCAAAATCAATTCTATTGTTATACAGGGTATACCAACGTAAATTCTTTCTTATTCTTCCGGAAACTAAAAACCTTTGTTTTTTTGAGATTCGCCGAGACCTAAGATCTCTTTTTTTGGGTCAGAAGGTTTATTTGACAGTCGAGTCACCTTAATTGCTTTCACTCTCTATTCCCTAGCAACTGAAACTTTGAATTCTCAAAAGAAACCTGCCAATGTATTATTTTGAGTCATTTTCCATGGACTCTTCTTCTGACGAAAAACTTTACTCGATGGATATTTTAGCGTGTATAGATATGTGTAATGGGAGAATAATGGAAGATAGCAGATTCATATAGATATCTAACGTAATTTTAAGTTAGCGCGGAAGAGAATGAAGTTTTATTTCAATTCCCTAGACAAAAACTTTATATATAGCGACCAACGAAAGGAATTTTATTATACCTCGTGGATGAATAAGATGTGGTCAAGGCAATCCACAATGAGTGTGTGTGTTTAGTGTGTGTGTGTGTTAGTGTGTACTATTGACCCATGTTTCTCTAGATTCTAGAACATACAATGAGGAACATAATGACATATTTGAATTTAGGTGCAGTAACAAATTGTATACATTCAAAAACCAACAACTATAGTTCAAAAATTTCCATGCAGTTCGAATAACTTCAATTCTTTCAGAAAAATTATATAATTATGACATAAAGATTGCACTTGCTCAACTTGAATATGTAGAACGATATAGGGTGCTCCATTCGAAAAAACAAAGTTGCTGTCATTTCCAGAAAAAAACGGAAGTTTGGCATATTGGATCGTAATGTGATCAAATCCGAAAAAGCTGCTTATATACTCGACAATACATCCGAATATTCTAGCTTAACATCCGCACTACATGCCGAACTTCTTCGAACTCTCACCAATAATGTGTTTCTCAGGTCACAGCAGATATCTCCAGGCAAGAGAGAATTGACACACTCAAGAAAGTCCACGTCGAATGTCAAGCTGACCCAGCCACCAAGGTAAATGAAGATTTGATGGAAAAATTCTTCAAAAACGAACCCGTCGATGAATCCTTGTTGGCTAAGCACGCCCTATGCATCAACGTCAAACTAGGAGTTCAAAAACCAAACGGTGATGTCGATAAAGAAGGTTTCAAGAAATGGCTGGGCGGTAGTGATAATGGGGAGCAGCTAATTGAAGAATGTGGGAATAAGAAGGGTAGCACCGCTGAAGAATCTACACTTGCTCTGTACAAATGTTTCAGGAAACATAGAAATGAACATGGAGTTCATCATCATCATGATTAAGTTAACTCTGTTAAAAAAATATGAATATATCTGATATTCTATATCCACACAAACTTATCGTTTTTTATTTTATTCCTTATATCCAAGAAATACGAAGAATTACAGGATTGCAAATTGATATCGGAGCATTCTCATAAATATTCATATTGCTGTTTAGGTATATTGCTTTTTCTGTGAAGGGAAAAAGTTTTAGATTTCATCTCTGTTGACATCTTCTTCTAATAGATGTCGCTGTACTAGTTATTTTCATAATGGGAATAAAAACTCGAACGTATTGATAAGTTATATTTTTATATCATAATACATCATATCATTTTATCCGATTTGGAAGATGATGTCAATCAATTCTCAATTCCAGAGGATTTTCATTTTTCATGCTCTCTTTTTGGATGTTCAACAGATATAATTCAATGTTCGTCATGGGATATAGCCAGGAGAGTAGTTGTTTTCTGTTTTATAAACCGAAAAAGAATTGATGCTTTTTTTTATTGTTTCAAAGATTACTGAAAAACATTTAATACATTCAAATGATCTATCATTTCTGGATAGTTTCCATATTGCATCGAATATTTGAGACAACATATGGAATATCTGTTGTACAGTTCGAGGATACTTCCAGTTCAGAACATGCGATTAAATAATGCGACTTCAGTTCTCTAAGCACTTCCCTTCGCAAGCAAACAGGTCTGTGCATTCCAGACCACCAGACCAGCCTTCTTGCTCTTTTTGAACCAGTCTCTGCATTTGTAATAGATGAGCTCCCTGCAGATCTTGGATAATCCGTTTGAAATTACAAACTTATGACCGTTCGAATAGGTCGACCCTGAGAGTTCATAAATATCATGATAATTTTCCATTGAAGCGATAGTCAGAGTGTCATAGACCTATTATCTATAATTTTGGAAACGAAGATCAATATAGGCACGTTAGAATCAACATCTGCGTATCATAATTTCTAGAAATGTTTCTAATTACTTATCTCAGCAACGCCACAAACGGATTGCGAAAATAAGTCATTTAGAGAAAAGTATGGACTTCTACATAAGATCAACGAATGCTAGTCGAGCAACTTTGGTCCAAATCCTGATACAGAGGAAAACCACTGGTTTTGATGTATGGTTCAATAGAGAATGCCTCCGCCATAATTTGATATCTGGATACATTTTAATACATTTTCAATACATTCAAAGTCACGCAGCTATTCTTCCATGAAAGCCATCTCTATAGCACAGAAAATATGGATAAAACAGGGGATCGAGAGACACTACGTTAGGATGACTGATATCAACAATAAATTGAAATGGCTCTACAGCGAACTAACTTCTGTGCTACATAATACTGAACTGGATGATCTGTTCCCTTCTCTCATGAATCGTGTGGAGGAACTAGGTAGGTCTCTCCATGTAGTGGTCGACGGAGTTTCATCTGACTAACTTATCATAAATGCTGGTGTTCCGCAAGGATCAATTATAGCACCAACACTATTTCTACTCCATATCAACGATTTGTTGGGAGCAATTTCATGTCCAGTACACAGCTTCGCGAATGATAGTACCCTTCATACCGCCTTCTCTTCCAAGGCTCCAATACCAGTCAGGCAAATCAGAAACAAACGAGAGAGAAAAGTTGACAACATTTATATGGACTTGGTACAGTTCAATGCAAACAGAACACAAGCATCCTTTTTCTCAAGAAAAGCCGATCTCACTGTGCCCAACATAAGTTTGTTAGGAGTAACCATACCTTTGAAGACATCCACATTTCGATGCTTGGTATTACTATCAGCAATAACCTTTCTTGGGAAAATCACGTGAGATCAATTGCTAGAAGTGCATCCCAGAAACTTGGTCTCCTGTTTCGGGTCAGGAGCTATTTCACTTCCAGTCACCTGCTTATGATCTATAAGGCACAGATCCAAAAACTGTTGGATTTTGTCCAAAAAAGGTCAATTCGTCTTGAGAATGATGCCCCGCTCACAAACTCACTCACTTCTCTGGAACATCGAAGAAGAGTTGGCGATCTGGCTCAATTTTATAGATATTTTCATGGATGATGCTCTTCTAAAATATCAACAATTGTTCCTTCCTTGGGAGTCCCCGCGAGATTTACCCGTTGAGGCTTCGCACCCCTTCCTGGTCACTTTGGAGACCTGCGGAACATCTCTTTTCAGTTTTCAATGACTCGTTCCTTCAACGAACAGCGAGGCTCTGGAACACTTTGCCAAGAGAAGTGTTCCCCGAGGCATATAACATTCAGAAAGTCAACCAGAACACCAATTCCTACCTCATTTCTCTTGGTTCTCACGATGTTTTCTGAACATTACAGGATATCCCTTTTCGTGAGGACCAGGACATAAAAAAAATTATGAAAAAGAACTTTCCTTCGAACCAGAGATCAATATACAATATCAATAGACACAATAATCTTCAGAATTTCAAAATTTCAGCAATAGAAAAGGAACGTGTCATTGAATATGATAATTTTCCTAACAAACACTTGTTGAGGAGTGAAATTCACAGATCCTTGAATGATGATTTTTCTCTACCAAATGGCACAACTTCAATCCAGATATCAAATGCTGCGAAAATATCTCCAAAAAAATCTCTGATAAAAATCTTTCAGTAACCAAAGCCGATAAAGGCAATTGCCTCGTAATTTTTCGATAGATCAGATTATGTTGACAAAATGGACTACTTCTTACTCTCTGCTAACTTTTCCAAATGATCTATCCATCTCACCCAAAATTTTTTTAATAATATGAAAACAACCCTCATCAGGTGTATTGATACTATTACTTATTATGAGTCTTCCAAATTAACATTGAAACCTATGAATCCTTCTTTTCCTCTGCTCTATGGCCTTTTGCCTAAGATACACAAAGACAATATCCCCATCAATCTTGTATTGTAATTATCCTTCGTCCAAACTTGCCTCATGGTGAAACTCCTTAATTAAAGACCTCTCATATTTCCAATACCCTTCTTCCATCAAAAACACTGTTGACCATACCAATAATATATAAAATTTCGATATTTCTCCCACTGCTATTTTATTGTCTTTCGATGTAGTGAATCTCTTTCCCATTGTCCCCCAAGAGGATTGTATCAGGTTAGTTCGTAGCCTACTATTTGAATCAGATATCCCCACTCACCATTGCTTGAACTTATTCTCTCTGTTAGATATAGTTTTGAAACATAATTTTTTTCCAATTTGGTCAGTCATTTTATGCACAACTTTCAGATTTGGCCATGGGCAGCAACCTTTCCCCTCTCCTAGAAGAAATTTTTCTGCAAGACTCTGAAAATTGACTGAAGGATTTTCATTTGTTTCGTAAGGTTCGCTTTTGGTATAGATATGTCGATGACTGCCTAGTCCTCTTTGACGGTTCGATACAGGAAGGCAATCTTCTTCTGGAATTTTGGGACTCCCTACACCAATCTATTCAATTCACCATGGAACTTGCTCAGAATAATTGGTGAGAGCGTTTCGAAAACTTTCGAAAACAACTTTTTTTTCTGATTCATCGTGTCATTATGTCTCAAAAAAATTCCATTCTTTTTTGGAAACATGAAACAATGAAACAAAAAAGAACAATCTGCTGCAGTCGTCTGTAATGGTGAAGATGGAATATGGAATATGAATTATTGATTATTCTTGTTATTGTACGTCTTATCGAATTCATATTTGAAAAATGTTTGACCTTTCACGATAAATACAGTCCGATGCTACTATATGTAAGTATAGGTAGCATAATAATATAATGTTGAAAAACAAAACAGTGCGATCTCAAGTGGAATCATGAAATTCTGTTCATTGGCTGCTTTCATTGTAGGCTTAGTGATAATCGTGAGTAGCTATCTTCAATCAATGCATACAGAGTGTCCCCATCCACAATATCTATAGGTACCAATTTCTAATTTTAAAGGCCGAAAAACCAGATTTTTATTTCGATGCGGTACTTTTTCAGTAAAAACGTCAATATTAATTCTTTATTGGAACATACAGTTGGGTTATTGAGAACGAATATCATTAGAATTATTATGAACATGAAAAAAATTAATACCTCAAAAGGGATTCATTGAGTTTTGAAAAGGAATATTCTCAGATATATTATGAACATAAAAAAAATTATACATATAAACAAATTAATATGAATGAATTAATTGATTTGTAGATTGTTTAACTGCATTCGAAAGTTTTGATTGAGTACGTTCCAAATATGATGAAATGTATGAGATCATTTGGGATTCAAAAATAGTATTGTTATTTATTGTTTTATGATGGTGATGAAGACAAGCATTACTTGAATTTCACATATCTGCATGCTGAAGATAATTTATTTCATCTTCCACAGGGGGTATTATTTTTTCCTTCCGTAGGATTGAATTGGCAACCTATTCGATATATTCTACAGAAAACAACTACTTTTAAGGCTATATGCCACGTGCCACGACGAACATTGAATCATATTTATTAAACACACACACTAAGAATATGGAAATAAATTCTTCTGGAATTGAGAATTTCCATGGGTTATCATGAAATCTCAACGAAGTTTGAAGAATTTTTATTCCACTATAACAGCAACCATTTGAATTCAATCATCATCAGTAATGGATACCCTGAGATAACTGTAATGAAGAAGTTGTTTATTCACTGGCTTCGATTCAATAAAGATGCAAATTTTTATTATTGAAATCCACCAACCATGTTGATTTTCAGAATTGGTTCACAATTCATTTGCGACGACAATGTGAACTAGCATGTGAAACTATAAAAAATTTCATCTTCTCATTATGAGATGATGCAGATTAATTCGAAAAATACAATCTCCAAGGGCCTTACTACAAGTTGTTATAGCTTATTCATCAGTGCCTTTAATCGACTTGAGGGAATTTTATTATAGCTTCTCTCCAATAAATATCACAGTGAATCACGAATCACCTTCTTGCTTGTATACTCCGGCCCTGACGAAATGTTATCAATGATTGTTTCTTAACTTTTAAGTGTAGTTTTTTATGGAAGACCAAACTCACTGAATTGTGAAACTAGGAATGAGGTAGGTAAAATAAGTATTTACCATTTATGAATTCTGAATCTCATATTCCTGCTAGATAAGGTATCGTCTTCAAGTCACCAATATCACTCAAAAGATGGAGTATGATTTATGAAAAAGGCTACACATAATACATAAAGCAAATGGCCAGTTGATGTACACATACGAACATCAAATTCCCTTCTCATAATAAAGTACATTCTTTGAATTTCAATGTGTAGAAATGGATAAAATTTTATAGAATATATCAAAAATTAGCAAAAAGGATTGATACAATTCATATTGTTAGAGTCTATTCTCGTTTTATTCTTGGATCATATTAGTTGATATGCCATCTCGGCTTATATAGCTTATCAATATCTCGAAAAAATGTCATCCTATTCTTTTTGAATGTTCAAAGTATATACGAACAACATTCAGTGAACTGTAAAGAAAGGAAATATATTCAATGACGAGTAGGGCCCACATCCCATACTATTTGGAGAAAATCTTCCATGTGAGTCCTCTGAATGTTTCCAGGCTGCCGCTGATGACATCAAACAAGAAACTAAAGACAGAATACAGAAATTCCACAACGAATGCCAGGTCGACCCAGAAACCAAGGTGGATGAAGCCATAATAGAAAAGCACCTCAAGGACGAACCAATCGACGAATCTCAGTTTGCGAAGCACATCCTGTGCATGAACGTCAAATCAGGAATTCAGAAAGAAAATGGCGATGTCGATAAGGATGGTCTGAAGAAGTTGATCATTGCCGATACTGATAAGGTGGATGAGATTGTTGAAGATTGTGGGGAGAGAAATGGCATCACTGCTGAAGAATCTGCACTCGCTTTGTTAAAATGTCTCAAGAAACATATACCCAGACGTGAACATCATGATTGAATGCAACAAACTCAGAAAATAAAGATGATTACATCATTCTTGCGTGGTTCATTTAATATTCCATCTATATAATTATGTTCAAATATCTCAGGATTTATGAGGCTGCAAATTTCGGATAGATTTGAGAAGAATTGGGTATTTTCTTCCCTTTTTTGCTATCTCAACCAAGTATGATCGATTAAAAGTGCATATAGAATTTCGAGAAACGTCTGAAAACCCTGTTCCCAATGTTCATCAGGATAATATCATATGCAAAAGCGACTCTCATTATGGGATTTCAATTTATGTATAATGCAAGAAACGTTTCAAAAGTATTATAATACCATGGTCATATTTAGATATTCTGCAAAACTAATTCAGTACCTGAACCGTTTTGTGTTTATTGTACCAGTATTTCACCTGAAGAAGCTTCTGTGTTAGCGAAGAATGTGTGATTACAAATTTTTGTATAAATCTTATCGTTTTGAAGTTTTTTTACATAACAATATGCGTTATCAAATTTGTTTTTTATAATTTTCGACCTCCCGTGATAACTGCATTCTGGTGCGACTATATATAAGGTTGAAGAATAAAATCGAAATCTCATAACGTGTTTTGAGTGAAATCATGAAGACCATAGTGTTTATTGCTTGCATTGTAACCCTTGTGGTAAATGTGAGTATACCAACCAATTTTTGTCTTTGTATAGTGATTCTGAGTATACCATAGTTCTCAGGTTAAACAGTGTTTGAAATATAGGGTGTGCTATAAAATTTGCTCATTTGGAACAAGGAAACAGATTTTCTTGACATTCGCAGGGACCATTGATCTTTGTTTTTGGCTCAAGAGGTTTCTTGACAGTCAAGCCACCTTGATTACTTCTACCCTCTAATCCTAAGCAACCAAAACTTTGAATTTTCAACGGGATCTACCCTACTTCCAACACGTAATTTTTCAGCACTTCCCATGTTTTCTTGTTATGATGAACATCTCCAATCAATGAGACATTCTATCATGTAGTTATTCTTATCAACGCCTCAGGGTATCGATCTACGCCTCAGGGTATTACTTGCGGGGTGCCACAGGGTAGTATTCCTGGTCCACTATTCTTCACTTTTTATACATCACTTTTTCCTGATTCGCTCAAGTTTTGTGACGATCACCTTTATGCTGATGACACGCAGCTATATTTTCCATTTCAATATTCTGATACACTGGAAGCAATCTAGTGCATCAGCAGAGATCTCGAGGAGTTATCCAATACCTCGCGCAGCCATGCACTGTCTAAAAATAAACCTCTTATAATCGAAAGCGCTCATATTTTGTAGTGACAATACCTTAGCACTTATCAAGGATAGAGTATTACTTGAGATTGCTGGTACCTCAATTCCAGTTGAAACCCATTGCAAAAACTTAGGTCTAGTCCTGGACAACAAATTGAGGTTCAAAGAACATATATCCTCCAAACTGAGAGTTACATATGCCTCACTGAAAATGATTTATTCCCAACGGCAATTCCTCTCGTGTGAAATTAAAAAAATGTTATGTGACTCGCTTGTACTACCACATTTCAATCATTGCGATGTCGTGTATGGTCCCTGCTTAGACAGTAATGATTCTAGACGAATTCAGAAGCTTCAAAATTCTTGTCTTCGATTGGTTAACGGAATAAGAAAATATCACCACATCTCAGGGAAATTTAAGGAAATGAAATGGCTGAATATGTACAACCGTCGAACTCAACACTTTGCATGTTTGGCCCATACAATCTACACTTTTGAAACATCCCCCTATTTACATAACAGACTCACTTTCAGAACAGATGTTCCTAATCTGAATATCCGACAAAAACCCTTCTTCGTATGCCGAGACATGAAAAAATTATTTATGAACGCTCGTTCTCTTATGGCCTTGCAGTCTGTATCAACAATATGCACAGATAAGATCCTTCACTGCTTCATCTTCTACCAAATCATTTGAATTTAAGTATCTTTTGTCCACGCAGAAATGATCTTACAAATCACCTAATCATCATCTATGTGTTTCTCACTTTCCCTATCTTTTTCATTTCTTCCTTCTGGCTCTGTACTTTTTGCCTCTTCCTCTTGTTTCCTATTATTTTCTTCCAAAATATCGTTTCATTACATTCAAATTATCATTTGCTTCTCAAATTTCTTTCTTCAATTTCACTGGCACTGGTGGAAGAACAGTTATAGCCATTGTACCTTGTACTATTTATATATTTTGTGGATAATGAATGTATTATTATTATTATTTTTATTATTATTATTATCAAGTTTTCTGTGGAGTACAAAACACTCACTCAAGTAATAACAGTGAGATAAGCTTCATGACTGGACTGTAAAAGTTATTCAATTTTGTGCAATATTCTCTACAATGGTCTCCTGAGAGCATAAGTGAGATGATTGTAAGTAGTGTACCTACGTATGCACGGGACCACACATAGGGAAATCAATGTGTTAGACAAAGAGCATGGGCTGGATAGTGAATCCGACAGAGATAGCGATATGGTTGGCTATAGCTATTGACGTCTAACCTAACCTATCTCCGTTTTAGCCCACGTCAGCATCTTACATATGACAGGTGTCAAAAATAATAGGTACTACAGTACCTTCGACCGAGACCCTCCACCGTGACCTTTCGTCGTGACCTTTGACCGTTGAATTTGACATTTGAGCATGACCTTTAATCGTGACCTTAGACCTTCGACCGAGACCTCTGATTATGACCTTCGATCGTGACCTTTGATCGTGACCTTTGATCGTGACCTTTGATCGTGACCTTTGACCATTGCCTTCGACCTTTGAGCGTGACCTTTAATCGTGACCTTGGTCTGTGACCTTTGGTCTACCTTCGACCTCAGACCTTCGATCGAGACCTTCGATTGTGACCTTTGATTGTTACCTTTGATTGTGACCTTTGATTGTGACCTTTGATTGTGATCATTGACATTAAACCGTAACCTTCGGCCTTGATATGTTACCTTCGACGTTCAAACGCAAGCATTGACTAACGATCTTCGATACATGACGGTAGTTTCATGTTGATCTTATGACTTTGTTTCCACAAAGGCCTTGGCCTCATATGATCTTATGACCTTGGTATAATATCGGTCTCGAGTTGTTTCTCTCACGGTCCCAAGACTCAAGACTCTAGACTCTCAGTTCAGCCCTCTCTGGTCACGTGACATATAACCAAAATGGTCGAAGTCATTTTATTCGATCCCATGGGTCGGCTAGTTATTACGCCACTGAGAGCGTTTCTTGAAATTCCAGCTGACATCGCGATGCAATACATGAGAACAATGGGTCCATTGTTTGCAGGTGGCCGATGAGACATACTTATCTCGACTTCGTAGAACAATGCCGCCTTTGTTTGCCATATGTTATCTAGCCTTCCTCTATTGGGAAATTGCGACGCAATATACGAGAACAATGCCGCCTTTGTTTGCAGGTGTCCGATTACGTAACAACCTCATCCGATTGCATTATCCTTATCTGTGTGAGAAAAATGGATCCATTGTTCTGACGCAGGTGGCCGATGAGTCATTCAATAATGCTCGCTAGGAGACATCCTGAAACAGTACCTCTATCTACTTCCTGTCGACACTGATTGTCAGCGTTTCTTGGAATTTCGTCGAGTCAGCTATTGGGAAATTTGCCTCAAGAACAATACCTTCGTTGTTTGCAGGTGGTCGATGACGTCACAACCTCAAGCCCTATATAAGGCGGTCAGAACGTTCGTAGGCGTCATTCCATTCTGAACTTTGACAGTGGTCGGTCGATCTGTTCCTGTATTAATCGGTTGCTCCTGTCTGTTCGGTTGTTCCTGTCTGTTTCATTATATTTTGTGTGGGTCGTGCCAGCTGAAAGGTGAGTTCTTTATTCATTACGTTTCAAGGCCATGTGGTCATTCCTATTTGTGACTAGTGATCATTCCACCCAATACTAGAAGTAGTAAGTTTCTTATCAGATGGATGTTTCAGTTATTAACGCTCAAGCTGCTGCCTTCAAGCCAACTGTCGTACTAAGTAGCTTGCTCATCAAACAGCCCCACCCCATTGAAAATATCAGGGTGATCCAGACGCTATTGTGGTTGAACTTGAAGCATCTAACGTCTTTCTGCCAAGCAGGGTAGTTGGCATCTTCAAGCCTCAGCTTCCGGCTTTCACCCCAGGCAAATAAAGCCTGATTCACAAGAGGAGTGACACCAGACCTAAAGCCCTCCTTGAGATTATCGAAAATTAGTGGTGAGTGAAATATTATTTTCCGTTTGATATTTCTCGCAACATGAATGTCAATAGTATTGCTTCCGCTAGTGATGCCGTTGTTGAGGAATGTAGAAGAGCAATGGAAATTTTGAGAAAGAAGACGAACATATCTGCAGAAGAGAGACTGTTATGGAATAGGCAAATAGGGACGCATATAAGAGAATTCAATAGGGCAATCAGGGGGACCAATTCGACAGCAGGGGTTTTGAGAAAATTAGAAACAAATGTGGGGCATTTGAAACGTTTTCAAAGTTTGATTAGGAAGAAGAATCATATTGGGGCGGGACTTGGCAATCGTAAATATAGAGTTACATGGAGACTTGTTCAATCTGTTTTTGAGAGTAGAGTAAGGACAGGTGTTATAATCAATTTAAGTCATAAGGAGTTGATGCAATTTTTGCAGGACGCATCGCATATTTTCAAAATTCAAATTAGAAAAATATTGAGGGAATTAACCATGCTCAAAGTCAACACCACCTTCTGTGGTGAGTTTATCAAGAAATCGGATGACGCGGAGATTATTGAATTCAAATATTTCAGTACGAAGAATGCTACAATGGATGAAGGAACGGATTTAGATTGTTGGTTTGCGGAAAATGTTATTGATACTGTATTGAATAAACTTTCGGAATTCCAGGAGAAGGGTAGTGGCTGGGCCTTGCGGGAAATCGTTTCTTTAGAGGTTAATGTTAATAAATTAGTGATTGGCAATGGTTCATCATTCATTGGATTACCTGACCAAATTTCCAAGAAGCAAGCC